TTTTATAATTAGTTTTTGGTTTAAGTAGGTGCTTGTAAACACTCATTAACACACACCTCATTCAGGGTAATTGACAACATTCTCAACTGTAGAAATGTATAAAATATAAACCCTTTAATTAAAGAGATTTTTTTTTTCCCCTTGAAGATCTCTTACTTAAAAAGTGAACCACCATCTCTTAACCTTTATGTACATTGACTGCAACAATATTTTGTTAAAGATAAAATAAGGACAATTGTTGTTTATACTACATAAAAATATAAAAAGAATAATCATCCTCAGAAGAACAATAGCCAAAGTATAGAAATTATTTTGTTAGACATGATTAACTTTGAAATGTCAAATTATGGATCTCAAGCAAAGTTACTGACCTTTTTTAGGATGCCTAATCATATAAAAAATGAAATGGTTTACTTTGATTTTTCTGAACCATGGTTTGATTGTATTTAAAAGTTATATACTTTTCAACTATTCATTTCCCTTGGTATACTGAGTTAATGCCAATTTTCCTAAACTTATGGTCTATTCCTTCAAAGTTTGCCACTTAGTCTTATATATTTGTGTTACTGTTTTTCCACAGTCCTCTGTATGCATCAAAATCTGATAATATTATATTCTTAGATCTGAGATTCTCTGCAGCTTTAACCTTACTTATCATTCCTAACTTATTTCTACCTTTTAAACTATATGCCTTCTGAATAAGAAAATTTTTTGCCTGAATAACAGTGCATGTAATATTTGCCCTGACTCCATATCAGATAGGATTTCATATGAAATATGGAAAGGAAAATATTGATAATCATGGCTAATAGATTTTGAAGACATTTTAATATTGGCTCAGCTCTATAAGTCCTTTGCTATAAAAATGGTCTAGTTGGATCTGTTTTTAGTTTATAGAAAACCGGATTGTGTATTCATTTTCTGCTAGTCAAGGGACACTCATGAAGATATGAAAAAGTCTGGCTATTTGAGGATAAGGCTCATCCAAATCTTTTTTTCAAATGGTAAAAAAAAAAAAAATCATTATTTATTAGCTTTATTAATTATATATTTAATTTAATTTAATTGCAATTTAATTTCAAATCTGGTGTTTGAGACCCAATGTTAAGACTTCTCTTGTTATCTGATTCAGTGTAAGTGGAGAGGAAGTCTCACATGATTGATTCACTCCATCTTTGCCATTTAATTTGACCCCAACACATGGAATGCAATGGAGAGAAGCTCAGGTAAAGAAGTCAAAAGAGGTGTTTTATATATAGCATTGTATTTAAAGCACAGGTAGACAAAACTAAGATGGTGTTTCAGAAGAATAATTCCTCCACAACTGAAGAGCTTCCAAGATTAACCACAAAGGAAGTATTAGGGAAATCCTGGACATTGATTTCTATCAGAATTTATTTGTTTCTAAATCCCACATGCTGCCTGTTTTCTTTGTTTTCTCTTTCACAGACTTTGCTTATAATTGACAAATCATGTAGTTTGAAGTATATGTTTAAGTTTGGTCTTGAACATACAAATATATTATAATTATCTTATATATATATATATAAAATAAATAAAATGTTTGCCTCTTTAGTGAAAAATATGTCTCCCATAACTGACAGAAAACTGCTAGAAAAATGTAACTTAGAATTTTGTTGATCTAATCATACCCATCTAGGATGTTATTTTCTGAGTAATTATTAGATAATGAATATGCCTTTATATTTTTTATGCCTTTACATTTTACTAATGTCTACTTTTTAAGACACATTGTAATACTTGGATCTTAGTATAAATTTAAGATACTACATGATGTTAGATACTTACTGCTGTGCAGTGACAGGAAAGACTGAATCAGTAACCTTCCATGTATTACCCCATCATTATAATTGCATAATTTTATCTCTCAATGACTTTATTATGCTGCTTTTACTTGTATATGGTATGTGAAATGAAATTGCCAAAAACATAAAGAGTTTGGGTAGAGGCGGAATCTGTCATAAGGTAAGCTACGAGTCTAAGACCCTATGTGTAATCAGTACTCTGTGGCATATAAAAATGTTCTATCCCACTTTCAGATACAGTGTGGCTACAGAATTAAGTCAAAGAAATAACTAGATGGAGCAAAGAGGGCAACTTATTACCATTTTAGAATATATGCCTGATTACATATTTAGAAAAAGGACATCAATTCTTTTCGGGGAGGTAGAATTTGATTTTAGCAGGGAAGAATACAGCAGGGAAGATTTCGATTTAAAAAATATAATAGCAGTTATGTAATTCTATCTTCTCTTTCAGCTTCCCTCCTCTCTTATCTCCTCTCACACCTCCTCTCTTCTCTCTTGTGACTTTCCTTACTTTGTTGGGTAACTTCTTATATGAAAGGCATTGCATTCAATGCATGACTATACTTGCTATTCAATTTTTAGCCAATTACTTTCTGGTATCCTTCTCTGTTTGGAACTAAGAATAAAAACTTTTTATTATGAACTTTCTAAAAAATAGTAAGGTCATATAAACAGTATAAACAATTGACAATGGTTACAAAATTTTACCAACTTCAGGCTTATCTGTTTTCTGGACCTCGTGAGTCAATGATTCACTTATTATTGCAGTAAGTGTAAAATTTACTATAAAAACATTGCTTCTTGATAGCACAGTGTGACATGAATGTGAAGAAACTATTTTATACAAGACAGCATCACATATCTCATTTAAATTTGATTAAGATAAGTTACTGGGAATTAAATGAGCCCTGTCATTAGAACAGGTTTTTGTGATTCCTTGAACGACATAGCTAAGGTCTTTTGACCCTTGAAGTACTGTGAAATATAGTCAATTGGGAGAAAGCAAATTAATTGGTGCCCCACGGACATCAACCTCTGGCTAACTATTTAAAATACCAATGTACAGGTCATGGGAGGAACTGCTTTTTGATGATGTCCTAAACCTGAAGGGTTATGAGTTCTTCTATTAGATAGCAAAGAAATACTTTTTAAAAATATAAAAGAATAAACACTTCTCATGATTACAGATTCATGCCTCTTTACGCAAAATTATAAAGGAAATTCTTGGGAAATAAGCCGTAGATAAATGGAAGAGGATAAAAATTACCTTTGAAATTGTAGCCATCATTACTGAAAAGTGCCAGAGGAAGTGTACAGGGATCACTTATCAAAGTGATATAAGCCAGGAAAAGTGAGTTGAGTTAATTTCAGTTTGAGGGAACAGGAACAAATTTAGATCTATAAATTTTTTATGAGGCAATTTTGTTACACCTGATTTGTATGTAAGTCATGAAAATTGACTGAGTTTTCTCTCCTATGAAAGCTGGAGGCAAATTTGGCTTAAAGCCAAGAAGAATAGAGAGCTAGAGTGTTCTTTCTGATCTCTCTCTAGAAAGTTGTTTTCTGTGTATGTGTTATAGAAACATCACCTTTCTTCTATCTTTCTCAGTGGCTAAATGACAAGGGTTATTTATTTATTTATTTACCAGTGGTGCTGAATAATTCAAGTCACTCCTGAACTTTGTAATGTCATTTCTGCCAAACATACCTAAATCCACCAAGATCTGTCATTAAGAGTTAAGGATTAAGCCATTAAACCACAAATCATCCATTCCAAAATTCCAATCACTGAGATATTAATAATATATGTGAAAACTGCTTTTTTATATTTGCAGGTAACTCTGAGAGCTTAGCATATATGGATTTTTATTTCTAGTCTTTCACATCAACACCACCATTGCCACCAACAGTAAGAATGATAACATTTCTGTGCAATTGATAGTTTCATTTCTAAAGAGGAAAAAAGTGGCACTCATTAGACTTAAAATTGCTAATTTTTAATTCACATAATTTTGGTTCCTACCTATCAGTGGCCTTGTTTGCCACAAAGCCTCAAACCATTATCAATCTGTAATTATCCAATGATAAAACCAAATTACATCAAAGCGTATTTACAGTTTGTTATTTTGTATGTTCTAATTTAATAGACAAGGATAACTGAAAAACAACAGAAAAATGTAAGCATAATAATCTTTGGCTTCGTAAGTATAATTTTGTCAAGAAAAGCATGAAATGTACATGTTGGAATTTTGTTTTTATTGGATTTCCTAGTGTCTTCAAGCGTTCCCAGTATTGGTTGGACGGGCCAGACCCTCCTGAATACATTGGTGTCATTACTATAATTTGTGGCATAATTATTAATTATGATAAAAAACAAGAATTAAGATAGATAAAACTCCAAAAATCAGTATCCTAATTCTATTTTGCTAAGACACATATAAAATACAAAGCGGGTTTGTATCCTTCATACAACAGAAGAGGCAGCTGGATATCTTAAAAATGAGAGGGGAGAAACAATTTGTGACTCAAATACTACCATGGATAATCTGAAAGTGATTTAGTAAACTTTGAAATTGCACTTTAAAATGCTCAATTTCTATATTTTGTTTCTCTCATTAATAAAATATAGCTTTGGTCAGATTGACATTTTCAGGGGAAACTGAGTATTAATTCCCTTTTTCAAAAGTTTCTTCCAAATTTGCTACTTTTTGGCATTTCTTCCAATAATTTCTCTTTAGTGAAATGAAATTTTAATTAAATCTCTATAAGCTCATCCAAATATGGACTTACTCTTTCTGTTAATAATGTTATTTTTAATTCTCTTTGCTAGCCAGTTCCAAGTGGCAAAATAGCTCAAATTTATCTTTATTTTTATTCCTGATTTATGAAATTTGGGATTTAAGCTCTAGATCTTATTTATGTAAAAATTATTCTAGAAGAAGTCCCAGCATTATGCTAGTTGGGTGTGCAGGTTACAGATTTTTCTTCCACTTCCTTTTACTACTTCTGAAGCATTAGGTATCATAAATGTGATACCTGCAGTATAGAAAAGTCACTTGCATTTCCTTTCAACAATATAGAAATATTTATTTTTGTCTTATGGATCTTTTAATTGTGAGCACACTCCTATTGCTGTATATGGTGGCAGAAAACTTCACCTGAAATACCTACCAGCAGGAATCCTGGGGGGCAGAGATCCTCCCCCTGGCACTGGATGCGGGGCCTGGATGCTATTTAAAAACCCTGCCCTCAGGAAGCTGGGGCAAAACGCCTCCACCCCAATGGCCGGGAAGGATCCTTTCAAGAGATAAAAATGGACATTAATCAAAACCTTCTTTGTGGAGAAGTTGTTGATCATTTAACTGGGGGAAAAAAAAACCTATGATTAATAAAGACATCAAACCTTAAAAGAAGTGATAAAATGAAAAGGGATAGAAAGCATTTTTATTCATAAACCTTAAAAAAACCCACCTAGTTTTTGAAAAGAAAGCTACTCTAAACTAGTTACAATCACACACGGTTTAAAAGAATGCTAAGATAAAATTTCTAAACCCCCATTTGACAAAGTGGATATAAATAAGTCATTGAAGTTGTCTATTTGCAGAATGCACACCCAGGGTTACAGAAGACAGCCACAGCAGGATGAGACTTCGAAGGTGCATGGAAGGAGCAGTGCCTTGTTTAGGTATGTCAGCAGTAGTGCATTTTTGAAATAGTGGCAAGGAACTCAATACACACAATTCTTATTTTGTTATACTTTTCGGGAGAAGACAGAGTTTGCAAAGGTGGAACCAGATGCTTTTTCACTTTTAAGAGGGCTATTGTAAAGCAAAATGAAACAAAAAAACCAACGATAACAACAAAAAACAAAAAGTAAACTACTTGGAAGTTTATCCATAAGATTATATCATGAATTGTAGAATAAAAGACTGTCAGAGCTGGAAAGGACATCAGAGATCATTCAGGCCCTCATTTTACAGAGCAGCAAACTGAGGCACGGGAAGGGAGAGGGCTGCCGCTGAGCTGGCGGACTCCTAGGACAAAAATCTTTCCACTACAGATTAAAAATAAATAATGAGTCGCTTCACATTTGGAAGACTGCTTGCTATTCTCTGAAAGTGAATTAGAAACCCTGCAGTTTGGAATAATAGCATTACAATTTGTTGTCTCAATGACCTGAAAGATACTAAAGTCATTCAGAAGAAAATTTAATACACAAGCACTGTCAGTGCATGGGCGGCACTGGTAATTGATATGGTATATACAAGTTTAATCACAATAATACCCTAAAAGCAAGTTACACTGATGGTGGTAAGTCACCCATATCCTTTGGGGCCTCTGAAACCCCAACCAGGCCCAGCAGTTTCTGGATAGGTAGACCAGGGATCAATCCTCCCACGCTCAGTTTTAACAAGTCCTGAATTTTTGAAGAGACTTCATTCTGTTCCTTGACACAAATTTTGCTCCTACAATATGTTAAAATTGACAGCCTCTTTGGACTTGGGCTAGGATTAAACAGAACTGGTATACCTACCACTCTTTATACAAGTTGCTTCTCTGGAGAAATTCGTTGCTAAAGAAAAGACAGCATTTCTCAGATCTTTAGAGATGTTTTATGGGTAAGGCCTGCCCATTGTACATTGAATTAAAGAAAGCATAGAAAGGAAATCATTTACTGTAAATAAATCCATTTTGTTGTTGATTTTATGAGGCTTTAGTATAAAGGCCCAGAGGCGTTTGGGTCTCTTAAACATTAAGAGATGTGGCTATAGTGCCAAGTTGTAGGCCATAGAATGTTCTGAGGTAACTTTTGGTGAACAGTGACTCTAATTTCCACTACATGAGGGTATATATCATTAAGCAAAAGTGTGCCCTCATTTACACATGTCTCACATTGCAATATTTCAACATTCTGGGAAAATGCCCATCGCCAAGGAGCATCACTGAATACCAGGTAGAGATAATTACATATTTATACTTCATTCTTAAAGTTACAAAAGTGGGGCACCTGGGTGGCTCAGTGGGTTAAGCCTCTGCCTTTGGCTCAGGTCATGATCTCGGGGTCCTGGGATCTAGCCCTGCATCAGGCTCTCTGCTCAGCAGGGAGCCTGCTTCTGCCTCTCTCTCTGCCTGCCTCTCTGCCTACTTGTAATCTCTCTCTGTCAAATACATAAATAAAAATCTAAAAAAAAAAAAGTTACAAAAATAATGGTGATTTTGCTTCAGTGAAAATAATTATAAGAAATTCATATTATAGTATAGGCTGTAACAAACAGAAATATTCCAACTAGCTGATTATGGATTTATTGAAGCCAAGTGACAGGAAGCTGGGTTCAAGAATCCTAGATTGTAAAGGAAAAGAGTAACATAATCATGTACAGGAAAGAAAAAGGAATATAAATATAATTATCATAAAAGAAATTGGAAGAAAAAAAAGCATGTAGAGCAGACTTTAAATAATGTTAATATGCTTCACATTTAGAGATTTTTATCTTTATATTTGCTATTTTAGCCATATTACTTGAAACTGTTAACTTAGAAAAGATATCCATTATTTTAACTTCTTGAAACAAAATAAAAATATTATATTATTGCTATGATTACACTGATTACTATTTTTGTGGTTGTGACAGCTTGTCATATTTAACAACAGCTTTCATTTTCTTAAACTCGCTGCATCATTCATTATAGCTTTGTTATGTTTCTTTACTGCGGGTTAAAAGATCTTTCATTTATTGTGGTATCTCTTCCTTAAGGAACTGTCATTTTTTTATATATATATGAAACAAACAACCAGAAAAGCTGGTGTACATGAATACATATTCAGTTGAAATATCATATTACGTGCTAATAACGTCTTATCATTTTTCTCCTTAGGGTCAGTCATGTCAGTAGAGATTGCATGAAACACTACAGCTCTGTTTTCACAATTCAATAATGAAGCTGAATTTATTCTTTGTTATAATTCTTTTATCTCGTAATCTACAAGAAATTAAGTTCAGGAACCTTTTGGGATTGGATATGAAATAATGTTAGTCTGGTTTGTTGTATTGCTTACACTGCTGTCTTTGGCTGTTTTTATTTTATTTTTTAAATAAGTAATTGTAACACAGAAAAAAGAGAGACACACAAACCAAGATACAGACTCTTTTTTTTTTTTTAAGATTTTATTTATTTATTTGACAGAGAGAATGATCACAAGTAGGCAGAGAGGCAGGCAGAGAGAAAGAAGAGGAAGCAGGCTCCCCAGCCCCAATGTGGGGCTAGATCCCAGGACCCTGAGATCATGACCTGAGCCAAAGGCAGAGGCTTAACCCACTGAGCCACCCAGGCACCCCAAGAAACAGACTCTTAACTACAGAGAACAAACTGATGGCTATCAGAGAGGAGGTGGGTGGGGGGATGGGAGAAATAGGTGATGGCAATTAAGGAGGGCACTTGTTCTGATGAGAAACTGGGTGTTGTATGGAAGCGTTGACTTACTATATTGTACACCTGAAACTAATATTACAGTGTACTGGAATTAAACATGGAAACAACAAACTAAATAAGCAATTGAACTTATTAATTATATTATAGCAAAAGAATAAACAACAGCTAGTATCTGTAGCAGGATAAATGTAGATGTCCATCAGTATTGTTTTTAGTTGCATTCAGTAGTCTGAGTTATGTCAGGATAAAGTAGACTTTTGATGAGAATATTCTTCCCTTTCATTACAAGTTTGAAAATATAAGATGTGTCACTTCACATATGCTTTTCTAATCTCAAATAAATGAGTTTCTAGTTTGTTAGTGATCATGAGTCAGTGGGTTAAAGAAATAGCATAATAGGATATTAGCATTATATTGTCTCTAATATAGAGTTGCCAGACAATCGGGCATCCTGTATTTTTATTTGCTAAATCTGAAACCCTACTCCAATATAATTTCAAACACTTTTGATTTTAAGACTCACAAAAGACACTATTAACTACTAGTAAATTAAGGTAACTAATTTAAGGTAAATTAACATATAAATTTAAACTAATTTAAACTAAGGTAAATTAACATAAGTCACTGGCTGCAGGTTATCTATCCTTCCGTAGTTCAGTGGTCGTTGATATCCCTTAGGTAGTACTGCAAATTATGACTAAGGGAAGACATATTTTTGGGGTGAGGGTCAGGATGTATGCTAAAGGCATTGTAATAACTGTTATACATACCCCCTTCACAAAGGAGAAGTTCTCTCAAAATGATAGTAGCACCACTGAGAAACACTGTATGAGAGAGCAAAGCATCCTAAAAAAAAATCGGTAGCTAGTGACCATGATGTTAAAAAAAAAGCATAAGTTGACATGATTGGCCTGAGTTTTGACATCTGATTTGATCAATTAATGGTGGATTTTGATTATCTAGATTATTTTAAAGTAATCTGGCCTATAGAATCACCAGTTTTTGAAGAGTTAAAATAAGATAGTTAACGCTAAAACTCGATGAAACAAAATCTCATTTTCATTGATTTGCAGGAATCTCTTTGAAATAACTTTACTTTGGAAATTAGATCTTAAGAATTTGTATAACAAAATGACTATGACTTTGGATTCTTCATGCCTTAATTTCCTCATATATAAAATGAAAGTAACAACTAACCGTACCTAATAATACTAATGTAAGGATTAAATAAAGTAAATAATCATAAATATAAGATAATATTATCAGATGGTCCCTTTTTTTTTTTTTTTTTTTTTAAGAGAGAGCAAGCAGGGGAGGGGCAGAGTGAGAGAAAGAATCTTAAGAAAGCTCCATGCCCAGTGCAGAGTCTGACGTGGGGCTTGATCTCACTACTCTAATATCACGACCTGAATTGAAATCAAGACACTTAACAGACTAAGCCACCCACATGGCCCCAAAGTCCTAATGCTTTAAAAAAAGAAACCTCCCTTTTTTTTTTTTTAAAGGTTGTATTTATTTATTTGAGAGAGAAAGAGAGCATGAGAGGGGAGAGGTCAGAGGGAGAAGCAGACTCCCTGCTGAGCAAGGAGCCCGATGTGGGACTTGATCCCGAGACTCCAGGATCATGATCTGAGCCAAAGGCAGTTGCTTAATCAACTGAGCCACCTAGGTGTCCAAAAGAAACCTCTTTGGGTGAGAAATTGAGGTAGACTGATTAAATTTTTCTAATGCAGAACTACCTGCCTCCCCCACACACATAGATAAAAACCTAACAGAAGAAATCTCTTCTTCGAAGATTACATATCAATAATTTAACTTTGCTTGAAAAGTTTAATAAAGGCAATATCCCTATAATAGGAATTTTT